TTTTAGAAAGTGAACCATGGATGGGGAAATGTTGGCAGTTTTCTCAAAAAATGCTTGAATTCAAGAAGTTTTAGATTTGCGTGGTTTTTTTTTTTCAGTTGCAAAATCCACTTGAACCTGACGCTGCTTTTTTCGATGTTTCTCAAGAACCATTCGAGCCACAAAATTCGTTTTGGCATCGTTGGATAGAGAATTGAAATTCAGTCCTAACAACGTGAGTGAGGAAATTGGAATAGTTTTGGCCCAAAATTTGAATATCAAACACTTGGGTTCAAGATTATGCCAAAATTCCTCAAAGAGAGGTATGACAACAGAAAAAGTGAGTAAATAGTTGTGAAAAGTATCAAAAATATCAGTAATAAACATAAGCAATTAACTGGCATGCTCCATTTTGTGGTGATCGGCTGCATTCGCCAATGGGGCGAGACCATTTGGTGACATGATTTTACCGCATCAGTAACTTCAGCTATCGTTCAGCCACTCCGAAATACAGAAGATATTAAAGCCCTATTTTATTGACGGTAAAACGGCTTCCATAGGTTTGCTTAATAAGGCTCCAAACTTTGCCTGGTTGACTTGAACCCAGCGTTACATTCGCCATACGAGTAATTTTGCCGCTCTTGCCAAGCTAACCCTATGGAAGTGCATTACACAAACGAAACTTACCTTAACCGGCCTTTTCTTGAAGATTAAAAGCATTTTTACACACACACTGACAAGAATCTACCGCTTCAATTGAAAATGGACGACAACTGACGCTATTAATGTAAAACAAATGCACTTCCGCTTCCTGTCGCCTCAGACAAATTGGTGAATACGCCCATGCACTAGAGCAAGATAAACATAGCCCAACCGGCTCGCACGGCACAGGAGACCTGCCATCTAGTCTAATGAACATTACTAAAAGTCCCTGAGAAGAACAGCTGATAAATCAACGCATAACCTCACAAAGGGGTTACACAACAACAGGAATTTGTCAAAGTTTGAGTTAAAAAAATCGGTGCTCTGGCGAGATGAGCAACGCAATCCTGATCAGTCTGCGAGCATCGAAGCCTCGAGCTGGTGTGGTGGCAATAGTAAGCAACCCCGCCCGAAATTTCGCCACTGAAGATGTTGACTACACCAACTTGTCCCTGTACAAAAGGGGCTCCGGGGGCCGTTCCAGCTTCAACGGAATTGTGGCCACGGTGTTTGGAAGCACCGGCTTCATTTCCCGTTACGTGTGCAACAAGCTGGGCAAAATAGGCACGCAGCTGATTCTGCCTTATCGCGGAGACAACTACGACCCCATGAGGCTGAAAGTGGTCGGCGATTTGGGCCAGGTGTACTTCCATCCCTACAACCTGAAGGACGAAGATTCCATACGCAAAGTCGTCCAGTATTCGAATGTGGTGATCAATTTGGTGGGACGCGACTGGGAAACCAGGAACTTCAACTTTAATCAGGTGCATGTCGAAGGGGCGCGACGCCTGGCCAGGATTGCCAAGGAGGCTGGCGTGGAGAGGTTCATTCATTTTTCTTCGCTCAATGCGTCGGAGGACCCGAAAGGCGTCATCTTGAAGAATGGTTCAAAATTCCTCAAAAGCAAAGCCTTAGGTAAATTGTGCGAGAAACTTATGAGGAAGAGAGGTCTTGCACAACTAAATGATTTGTTTCAGGAGAAATAGCTGTTTGGGAAGAGTTCCCAGAGGCAACCATCTTCAGGCCGGCAGACGTCTACGGACAAGAGGACCGATTTTTGCGGTATTACTTGCACAACTGGAGGCGCCAGTTGCAAAACATGCCCCTATGGGACAAGGGCGAGAAGACAGTGAAGCAGCCGGTGCACGTGAGCGATGTGGCGTCTGGCGTGGTGGCAGCCATCCGAGACCCAGACAGCGCCGGAAAGATCTTTCAAGCTGTCGGCCCCAAGCGCTACCTGCTGTCCGAGCTGGTGGACTACATCTACAGAGTGACGCACAGAGACAGGGACAACTGGGGCTACAGGCGCTACGACATGAAGTGGGACCCGTTCTTCCAACTGAAAGTCACCATGACTCAGAAGCTGTCGTACAGCTGGCCTCTCGGCCACTTGCACTGGGAGAAGCTGGAAAGAGATCACGTCACCGATGACGTGAAAGCCGAATTGCCCACGCTGGAGGATCTGGGCGTGAGTCTGACCGCAGTGGAGGACCAGCTGCCGTGGGAATTGCGGCCCTGGATTTATGGACAGTACCATGGACACGATGCCGACGATCCGATGATTACGGCAACTCCACCCAAAGTGGCGGTCTAAGTCCACTTTTATGTTGTTACGCGTGTAAATTATAAACGATTAATAAAGTCATTTTACTTCTGGTTGTGTTCGGTAAAATTTAAGATGTTGAGACAAGGGCGGATCCAGGGGGGGTGGGCATGGGGGTCATT